TTGTTGAAACGTGTGATGTCATCATTGTTACGTCTTGTTCTTCACTCTTCTCCACGTTTGTATGTAGTGTCACTTCGGATTGTTTTGTTTCTTTCTTAGTATTGTCCGTTGTGTCACGTTGAACCTCCTTATTTTCATGTAGAAGTGAATGATGACGTCTTTTGCATATTCTACAACATGTTGGTATACGACAATACCTTACAGAGTGTCCAGGTGCAAGGCAATTGAAGCACAGGTTGTTCGTTTTAATGAACTCACATCTTTCCATAGGTGATTGTTTTCCAAATTCTTTACAATGGCTAAGTGTATGACTTTCTTTGCATATTTTACATTGCTTAGTGTTTTCAACATTAGTGGTTACATGAAATGTCTTCTCTCGCACTTGAACAGGACTCAACTTTTGTTTTGTTGGTTCTGTGAGTTCCAACGTTCTAAATCGGCTTTCCAAGAACTTGCGAAACATATCCAACGACGGTAGAGTGTCAGAATCTTGACAATTACTACTCACATGCTCTTCCCAGTCTTTGTGCGTTTCACAGTCTAGTTTTTGTACACGAATATTATAAGAGGATCCCAGTTTCAATATTCACCTTCAAAGTTTTGAGTTGATGTAAACATTCGAACGTTGTATCTAGCAAATTTTTGATAAGACTTGAACTGTTAACCGTCATTTTCTTTTGAGAAAAGAACCTTTTCATCACTGCATTTATGATAATTCGAATATTGCCATACCTTGCTTTTAAAATGTTCCACGCTTGCTCATAATTCGAATCCGTCACCTGTATGTGCTTTAATATCGAAGCGGCTTCACCAGAAAGGCTTGTTTTCAAATAATGCAACTTTTGTACATTATTTAATGACGCATTATTATGCACAAGTGTACAAAATAAATCATGGAATGATAACCACTCTTCATATTGTCCACTGTACGTAGGTAGTTGTATTTTTGGTAAAATTACTTTCATCGGTTGAGATTCGCTGGGTATTGGCAACGAAGCACTATCACTAACTGTCTGTGTCACTAAAAGTTCCTTCAAGTCAGTAATCAAGCTAATGTACACAAAGCACCGCTAATTAGTTGCAGCGCTACACATCGACACAACTGTCATTTACACAGTGTACATGTGTGCGTAATTTCATATAACTGTATATAAAAATATTCGTCCACCACGTTCACATTGGTATTTTCATTCTTGTGTCGGTATACGTATTTTTATAATTTAATGCATAGGTAAGGTTAAAACTATTTACAATCATTGATATGACCCGACATTTTCACTGTCATTATCGTAGTGCTCGTGGTCGATTGGTTAATGAGCACGCTTTTATCGTCTTTCAAGGATCAATGATGTGGGTTCTATCCAGCTAAAAGTTAATTTTATTTTACCTTGTTATTTTTCTTATTTTTTTTTTGTTTTTTGTCATAAAATATAAATATCAGGCTATAAAAGAAGCAAATGAGTTGGTAAATAAAACAATACTATTTTTTATTACAATTAATTTATTTATTATACAAATATGTTGTTTTATATTCAATATTTATATCTAATAATTAATTATATACCACGTGTTAAGTTTAAAGCTCTTTAAATCATAATTAATAGATATGACAATAAACCTCATAGTCGAATCGGGAAATATCATGCGGTACAGCGGTAATACGATGGCAGCAACATTTTTTATTAAGTAGGTAATAAACAAATATACAACATTCTTGTTTTGTAATTTAATAATATAATGTATTATTAAATTACAGTTTTACAGTAATAAACAAGCAAAACATGTAAAAAATTACACTGTCAACATAATATTTCTTGAAATGGGCGACTTTTTGTCGTTTGAACTTCCATTAATTATCTATTTTACGACGGTTGTTATAAGGTTCAATATTCAGTGGGCTGTATGATAGTAAAAAGAATGTGACGAATGCTATGGAACGATTTTAACTTTCATGACCTTTAGAATCAGGGAAACTTTAAATTAATTGAAGATGGGCGTAAATATAATATGTCAATCAAGTTCGAAAGCAGTTAAATAAATTTGTTAATGAAAAATTAAAGTGAAGTGAATAAACATGTTGAATAGAAAGAAATTATGACAATTTCTAACCACAAAACAATAACATCACTTCACCGTATGTTCTAGACAGCATTTTAATATTCTTAAAAAAATTAAACATTATTTTATGTTAATTTTAATAAAGGCAGAGTTTGACAGGCTCAATAATTGATTCCGAAATCAATACAATCACTGATCCTACAAGGCAGAAGGTTGCAATTCGTATACCTTTCTCCATCTTTTCTTCACAATATTTTACGCCCATCCTTATCCGACTTGAAAGTCTTTTCGTCGCTCAATATGATTACACTGTTCGCCCAATCAAAATTAATAAAGTCCTTAGCAAATTCTTAGCGCTTTTGCTGGTGAACCACAGATAACAATATTTTCTTCTCTGGCTTCCTGCACCTTAAACCAGAATGCAGGTGTCTCCGTACAGTTTGTATTAAAACATTCAGTGCTGTCGCTGTAGTGCGGGTTGGCAGGAACGGATCAGCCATGTGCCTGGCTACGATGTCGTAGTGCCGAGCCGATGAATTTGCCTTTGGTTTAGGCCCACGTCGACGATGTTTAACGTCACCGGTCTCCGCATATCTGTGCACCCATAACTGCATGGATCTCCTCTGTTGATACCAAACAAATAAGTATTTAAAATACCAGGAAATACTTTACAGGAATTAAAGTTACTTAAAAATAATAATAAATATAAGTAAACACAATGTTAGAATAATAATTTATAATTAAGTAGTGGCGTAAGGAATAAAAATCCCTAACCAGATATGTTTTAAAGAAACACTCCTAACAAAAACAAGTCAAGTTACAATACAATTAATAATAAATTATTAATATATCTTTATAATATTGAACTTCATAATAAGTTGCAATAATTATTTTATTCTAGTGCAAAAATTGATAGGTGTGTCGAGTTACAAAATGAAATAAATATTATTTAGAATATCAACGTAGTATCTTATTTACTCACCGATATCATTAAACGCCTTGCTATTTCAGTTATTGTTAGTTATGTTTTGCTCATGCAAAACAATGGTTTCAGCCTTTTTAAATGTTGATAGGTGTTGGAACATCTTGTAAAAATAAAAATAACTTTGCACACGAATATAAGTAGTGTAGCAATAAACTATGAAATCCTCATAAATTGACAACTAAGAACGCAATTATTTTGTAAGTCGGGTGATTTGAAAAACATGTTTTAAATAGTCGGTAGTTACTTCATAAGCGTGTAAAATAAAATGACTCGAGATTTCTATGGTCGCCACAAACATTGCAAATATACTCAGGTATCGAACCATTAAGAAATCACAGTTAATTACTTTTTTACTGTTTTTATCTTATTTAAGTTGGTTGAAATGCATGAAGCAAATGAGATTATTCTAAATAATAAATAACTAGAACTAAAATATAAATAAAAGATATTATAGGTATAAATAAATCTAAAGTATTTACTATTAAAATTAACATAAGATTTAGAACAATAGGAAAGGAAAAAAAAAGAAAAGATTTAATTGTTTCTAATTTCAAATTTCAAATATTTGATAAATTAATTCTAAAACAACATGTGAATGTTGGAATCGATCCGGCGGCACTTTACTTGACAATTGGAGGCGATAACCATTGCGCCAAGCGCGCTGTAGATGAGATCATCGAAATATTTTATATCATTCAGTAACATAAAATTACAATGAGAAAGCACTATATTTATATGGGTATTGTATAGCTCGATCGTTCATTATTTTTGATTTCGATTTATTCAAAGTTTGTTATGAGTAATTTTATCTTTACCCTCGTTTTTATTTAAACTTATTTACTAAATTATTGCGTATACCGACACAAAAATGATTTTTAAATACCAAGATGTGTGTGATAGACGAATGTTTCTATACATATCTATTGATATGAAATTACCCACACATGTATATTGTGTAAATGATAGTTGTGTCGATGTGTAGCGCCGCTAACTAATTAGCGGTGCTTTGTGTACATCTCCTCATGTTCATAATATTCTTCATTTGCTAAATACGGTATAAGGTTCCGTTTCTCCCGTTGTACGTTACGTATTATTTCGCTATGAGCTTGCTTATAGTCAATCCAGTAGTCTTCTACACATTTCAGACGAGCTTCGACGTAAGTGCGGGTTAATCTGGTCTTTGGGCTCTTCTTTAAATTGATCTGGGTCTTCTGTAAAGTACGCGCAATAATTTCCACAATGTTGCATGCTTTATCCACTTCTGTAGCCATTGTTGTTTCGTAAAATCTAAATCTTCACAAAGCAATCAATTTAATTTAGTTACTATGTATAATTGTATTCGTTTAAAATATCTAATTTTTCTTTCCGATTTTTACAATGACATTATGTGTCACTCTTACAAAATGTACTCCTCCATTTATCGGACGCTGCTATCCGGCTCGAAGGACCATATGTTGAGGTGATAAGGTTGCAGTTTGCTTGTGTAGATTTTCCAATGAAAGACGTGCGGTTATTTCGAAATTATATTTGACACTAAAGTAAATATGTTGAAGGTAGAATGACATGAATGGACTACAGATTAATAAATATACAAAATTATGTGATACAAACTTTTTGAACGAACAATTTGCAAGTTGATAGTTTTAGCGTGAACAAAAATAAATACCGTAGGAAAATATTATACTGTCTTGTCGAATTGTATTCTCAGACTGGGTAGGCAGCGGTATATAGTTTCCGTGTTAAATGTAACGCCTGCATTTCATCAGCTATAAATGCCACACACATAATACGAGGCAAGCTTTGACCTTGGGATGGTCATAATTATGCAGTGTTTGCCCATTATTCCCTACTATTTTGGCACGAGAATTGCAATACAATATTATGAGGAGCCCAAGTGTGCTTCTCTTCTAATTTATCTTCTTGGTTAATCTAATATTCTAAATCAATTTTTTTCCAGTACTGCGGATTGGTAGCCCTCACTTCAACACCATTAAATTGCAACGCGCGTCTCCGAGACCTGTTGTCCAGGCCTCTGAATGAAAGACTAGAGCTCCTCCTACCAGTCGGAAGACCACACAAGGAAGCCACGGTTCCAGACCTTGAACGAAAGAAACTTGAAGAAATTATGGTTAAGATATGAAAAAAGTCTGATTTTGTGATAATTTTGTATGTATATAATGCTCCTATCTTACGGGAAGGTGTTATCTAATAGATAAATGTATTTGCATTCCCGTGGAATGTTTGTATGTTTCAAAGTCTGATAGGCACCCGAGTTTCCTTTGTATAGAATCGCGGATCGTTATTTTGATAAACTGTATTGAAATAAATAATGACAAAAGTTCAATCAAGTGTGTATTTATAATGTTTTTGTAACAGTGAGGTAGGATACAGGCAATCGTTTCTGTATTCGATGCTCTCATTGAAATGCAAACTATAATACCTGGGACTAACACTCGTGTCAGTTTGCTCGTTTGCACTTGACGCAACTACCAGTATATGTGAAATATTTCAAAATAAAAACCATTTTTTAAACGACACCTTTATACAAAAATGTGTAAATAAAACATCTAAAAACATTATTCGACATTATTATATTCATTGCACGTACACTCCGATAAATTTAACTAGCACAAGCCTGCACGATTGGACTTCAGCAGCGGCGACGTCTACGGCGGCGGCAACGGCGGCGTCGCTTGCGCCGGCAGCTTCGGCGGCGGCGGCGTCGGCTACAGCTGCGTCGCCGTCTGCGGCGGCAGCTGCGACGACGACGACGACGTGGCTGTCAACATTAACGTCAGTTGAGCTCCGTCAAATGTAGCAAAAGTTCATTTTCACATGAGCCCATTGCCGATGCCGGGTATCCGGGTGGTGATGTGCATACCCATATCTTAGATTTTAACACTCGGTAGTCCACGACGGATCGTGTGAATAGGGCCTAGCTCCAGTTAGGTGCATCGGCGTTACTCGCAGCGACTTGCAGTAATGACAAAAAATTAAAGCCGTTTTTTTTAATCGACTCAATTTGTGGATGTTTGGGATAAGCTTTGTATTTTATGCATTAACATTTGAGAATTCACAATATTTATACATAAAATTTACAGTTTGTGTCTCATCCTAAAACTCGTTAGTTTAGTAACAGCTAGAAATTATAAGATAATAATATATTTACACAACACGATCGACGGCGGCGACGACGAGGGCAGCATGTCTTGCGTCGACGGCGGCGGCCGCATCGGTCGGACGGCTCGCCGGACGAGGCACGGGAGAACGACCGAGTACGATGTACACACTTCTCACCGCCAGCGCCAGCTCCCCCGCCGCGTCTACTATGTAAAACAATCATTCATTAGAAACAATTTTATTTGTTATTAAAATATTGCGTGGCGTCCTATTTGTCCAATCACTGTAGCCCCCAGTGTCAAACCATTGGACAGTTCGACTTTGAATTTCTCTATCGGACAAACAGGACCTCACGCTACATTAGCACCATCTAGTGAGCGTAAAACGATAGCACTTATTAAAGAGGAAGAGTGTCGCGCTCTCTTCGTAAACCATATGACATTTTACATTTTACTAGTAAGCTAGTTAGCTTCTGCCAGAGGCTACCCGTTCCCGGGAGTAAAAAGTAGCCAATTACTCGACGCCATAATCAACCTTTGTTCCAAACATCCCGGTCCATTCAGACAGTTTTGATTTGACCGAGTAACAGACACACGAGCTCACAAAATTTTGCATTTATAATAGTGGTTTAAGCTTACTTCGGCCATCAGCCCTACAGTTACAGCGAAAGGTCCACTGACGGCCACCTTCGACAAATTTATATTTGCGTTTGGTACAGTAACTGTGTCTAGGGATCGAGCATCGACCCGTACAATAGGGATGATGACAGTGTATGAAAACTAAAAATGTAATTAGTCCGTCAGTTAGGTGATGAAAAAATATTAGATCGTATTTTTTATTTTGTTGTATAAAAAATTATACTTAGATATAACGAATCAAAGTTTAGGAGTGGGAGCTATAACGTCATTTTTACGTATAAAATGTACATAGAAGTGACGTCACGCGACATTTCAAATCAATATAATTATCTTCGAAACTATTCGTTTCCGTAAAAGAATAAAAAATACGTGTCTAATGTTTTAAAATAATCTACCAGACGGATATTAAAATAAAAATTAGTCATCTACCCCATTAAGTTTTTTTAGTGTATATGTTTTTTCGGCATAAAAAGTGCCCAGTGTGATGCTCAAGATTTTAAAGTATAATACACAGAATTTCATCGTAACATACAGACAGACATTTTTGGGTTCGATGTCCGTATAATAACCAACAATTTTTTTTTATATTTTCAATGTAGGTACACTTCTTCAGTTTTATTATATGTATAGATACTAGACTGGAACGTCGTAACTAGTAGACAGATAATAGTTACCTCCTACTCATGCGGTCTTCATCATTCCCGGCATGTTCTCTGGAAGAAGAGTTAATGGGTGTGAATCTGCAAATAATCACGGTGTTTCAACCGATATAGGGGGGTTTCCACCAACTACTACTCAGCTGAACAATTTAACATACTGTATGAATCTCAATCACATCACGTCTACATACAGTGACATGATGTAGAAAACGCCTTCGTTAAGCCGTCGGTCGCTACACTGTTCACCTCGCATATACTTCATGTTTATAAGACCCAGTGTGCTTAGAAATCTGTACAGCGTTCTATTGAACAGGTCATGCGAGTGAAGTGGTAATTTGTACTAAAAGTAACCTTTATGACCTTTATGTGTAGTAAAACGAAAACTGGTACTCACTGACTATCCTGAGCTTTATCTTTTTGTTCGCCTTCATTCTTTTTCTTCGAGGCGGATGTTGGTTTCCTATCGTGGTGGTGGCCTTGTTCAGAGTGGCGCCGTGCAGCAGCGGCTCGCCGACGCCTGTTCGTATAACAATAGCAAAATTTAATTTGGGATATGTTGCTCTTAAATTTTTGACAGACACTGCTTACGATGTTTACACAATTACTGGCCAATCAGTCAATTTGGACAACGTATTTGTTATAATAAGATAATTAAATCGACAAACACATACTGGAAAAACATAAAAGAATATCACACAAGGTATACGTACTTTTGTTGAAAATCAACGTAGGTTTTCAAGCGGGCGGTATACCGAGGTGCTTCAGTCTCGCTACGTTTGCGCATAAACACCACCACGTCATCATTTAGCTTCTTTTTCTTCTCATCTTCGGGCTCCATGGTACCGTGGCACCCCAATCTTGGTCACCTGGCGACAAACGAGATGGTCATCATCATTCATCAAATTAGTCTATAAGAGGATCCTGCAAGGAGTAACAGGAGTAATTACTGTCCCTACTCCTTCCTGTTCTTTTATGGAATAGGAGGCAATCGAGCAGGTGAATCACCTGATGGAAAGCCATCAGCGCCGCCCATGGACACCCGCAACACTAGAGGAGTCACAGGTGCTTTGCGGGCCTTTTAAAAAGGAATACGCTTTATTCTTGAAGGTTTTAAGGTCGTATGAATGGAAGTGGTTCCCCGTGTGATGTCTCTTAGCCAGAACTGGCAAAGAGGCAACACAATTGGCAAACTGGAAACCAGTGTTTTCTCAGACTCCTCTGATGACTGAGGCTTTTGCGATCTTGATTTTAGCTGACATGAATTTTGGAGTTATTGGTTAGAAACGTTCTGAGCCTTTATTAATACAGTATAGGTATTTGGGTATGCAGCTGTATTGAAATAAAATATTTTCGTCATACAAAAGTTTTCAAAGATTCTGGTAGCATCTGACAGCCGTAAAATACTTTTTTTAGCTAACACACTGAACGCTACATTACATTACGCTACGAACTAAGGGTGCTAAGGGTCCTTTTACATCCTCTGGTATCCAAGTGAGCAGATGGTACCCGGGTACACAGTGACGTAATGTATAGCCATACACAATAGCTTTCATGCGTATCACCAGCTTTAACGTACATTCGTCCCCGGATACCCAAATACCCAACGATCCGGCAACCGGACCATGCTGAGGCGCTACCACTTAAAACAATACTAAACCAAATTTCTAAACTACAAAAAAAAACATACCACTTGAATGCCTGACGCCCGTACATTATTGTCAGTACTTTAAAATTAAAATTTTCCAAAAATTGTACCTAAAACTGTATAGAAATATTTTTACAATAAAAAAATCTAAAAAGAGCGTGTCATTACAGAAAATTTCTTTGTTTCAACTGAGACTATTATTCTTATTACGAATTATTGTCACTCGCAGGGCGACAAGAATATTATGTGCCAGTTACATTACAAAAATGTATTATGAAACTCTTTTTAGTTATTATTTTACTTCTTTGATTCTATTCCTCTTTGTTGAACTAAGGAGTGGATCTTCTTGCCGGAGTCCGTGCTGTCCAAGGGGGTGAGTTTCTTCAAGTCTCAAGTGAATACATTGCTCATAGGTGAATTCCATCATTGAGCCCTTCATTGCTTGCTTGCTTTTGTTTCAATGGCTTCTCAATAAATGGATGTGCGTTAAAAATATTATAAAGTATCATAAAAAAGGTCGAGAAAATAATTTTGAAAAAAATAAATAAATATTAATGTACTGAATCTGGTACTGACTAAGTTATTCCTATGATTTTGATATAATAAAATAATGAGAAATGATTGTGTTTTTCAATTATGTACCACGTAAAAGAAATTAATATTTCAAATACAAATACATACAAATAATACATAAACGCAAAAAGAAAATCATAGATATTTTCAGCAAGTTGTTACATCCAAACACGATTTACGTACTGTAGTATATCCACCTAACAGGAATTTTATGTTCAGAGAGAAAAAAATATAGTAAATTTTTCATTATAAACAAATTCGAACCCGCAACCAAGATTAAGCAACTTGATTTATATTCCAATAAACCTTTTTATAGAGTTTACATATTTACATAAGACATGTACTTGAAACGTCCGCCATTTAAAAATCAACCGGTAAATCGCGTACAAGAAGAGAAACGAGACTTTTAGTCCCTTTTTCATAAATGGGTTAATGGGCTGACGACTCGGAAGCATCGTGTTAACATTAAGAATGTATTATTACAACCAAATTACATTTTACGTAGCAATTAAACCTTAACACAGCGTAGTAAAGAACATTTTTCTACGACTACAATGTAAGGAATGTTAAAGTTAAAAATACGTCTTCGGCAACTTTCGGCTGTTTCCGTCGGCGATCGACAAAGCTCGGCAGTGCGCGGCCGCCCGCCCGCCGTACGTGCGCATACGCGTTGGGCGGCGCTAACGGTCAATTAAAATATTCACTGATTTTAATCATATTCATACTTATGCCGTTCATTGAAAAATAATGCGATACATAATACAGTAAAATATTTATTAATGCAATTATTTATGTGAATAAAACAAAAGTATGATAAAAGCTTTAAAATAGTTTAACCGTAGTGTGCGAGTGAAAGTGTGTAGTGATAGTGATATGAACGTATATAAAGTGTTATGTGATAATCCTGTGCATACTCAAATATTTATAGACATTAAAAGGATGTACCTATCAATAGAAACCACGATTGTATCAAAATGCATTCCGTAATAAGTTGTCGTGCCGCGCCACCTGACGATGCACGTGTTTTTATTTTCATTTATAAATAGTCCAGACATAAACCGACATTCTACGGCTGCAGTATGACGTCACTAAAAGAGAACAGTGACGTCACTGACGCCGGTAACGTGGAAGAAGAGAAGAGTAGTAAAGTTGAACGAAAAGAGCCGAAAGAGTTGGCCGAACTGCCGCCGAGTGGCACCTCGCTGCATAAGAGACGTAGAGGGGAGCCGCCTGCTTCACTATCTGTCAGATCTCCACAAAACTCTGACCCTGAAGGTCCTTCTCCCTGCACAGCAGGTCCATCCCCTCCAGAAGAATACTGGTCTCCTAACGATGTGGAACTTGCAGATCCAGACACAATATGCGAGACCATGCTGCAAAGGTTACGAGATCAGAATGATGCCATTTCCAAGCGAGGCAAAGAAGTGGCTGAGAAGACGAAAGACACTATTGAGGCTCTGGATCAGTTAGAAAAGCTGCTAGAACTGCTAGACCAGCTGGTGACCTTAAAAGAACATAACACACGTCTTTTGAAAAGGTTGAAAGACGTGAACCATTTGAAGAGACTGCACAGCGCCCACAAGAGGATAGACAGTGAAAATGAAAAGTTAAGGTCTGAGAGCAAAGAGTTGGAACTCATAAATGAAGCTTTAGATGCTGAGTTTGAGAGTGAATATGGCCAATTGCTCTTTGGCTCAGTTATGGGCAATAGGAGTATGAAAAGGTCAGGATCTAAATGGAAAGGTAATGCCAGGTTTGGAGGATCGCTGCTGAGGAAGCAAAGATCCAGGTCTGCAGGAGGGGATGACAGTGATGTGGCTCCTGGCACTCCTTTGCGAAGGAGATCCGAAGGCATTTTTATGAAAGAAGTGGAGAAATCTAAAGTTTCAAAATGGACAAGAGTTAAAGCTGCATTTAGGTAAATATTTGTTCTTTACTTTAAGTTGCCAATAGAATTTATAAACTATACCTTAGAAGGATTCATAAATACTTTAAAAAAGTACAAAATGCTGTTCCAATTTCATAGTTATCTGTAATTCAGGTAAAATGTAGTTCGACCTGTAAAATTTAGTTTAGCTCGTGTTAGGCATGATGAGTAAAATATGGTGCTAACAGGAAATCGAACGGGGGCAACTGGCGTAGGAAGTTATTACATTAATCTACGTTCATGCGTGAAATCATAAACTATTAATTTGTAGTGTATGATGAATGAGGTGTGATCTTTTCAAATTTGAGTGAAAGTGATTAATTAGGGGTAGCAATTATCACTGCGGTCAAGTGATTACAAGTGGGACTGCCGAGCCAATGATCACGAATTAGATTTCTAGGTTGGTGCCTACTATATTTATTTAAAGATTTTCGGTGCGAATGTATTAGATACTAGTGGACCCCACGATCTTTGTTTCGCCTTGAAAACTGTTCTGTGCACCTATGTTTTTTTTTTCTTACATAAGAACTTTCATCTAACAATAACAAACCCAATAAAAAAAGAATTAGTGAAATGCGAAATCGGTTTAGCAGTTCTCGAGATTTGTGCTTAGAACCCATGTACAGCGGTTCATATTTATATTATTAACTCGTCGAGTACCGTATTTATAGACACAATTAAAGAACAATAGGTCGCGGTCACCGGTGACCGCTTGGTGTTTGACAGTTTAATAGAAGAAAGATGGAATGTAACACCCATGGACTTTATACCAGTTATGTTTTGAGTCTTATGTAATAGGGGGATAGCCAATTCTCCAATAAGCAGACATCGGATCAGGGTTCGTACACAAAACTACGATGCGATGCGATGTGATGCGAATTCGCAACTCAGAAAATTACAACACGAATTGCTGTGATGCGATTTCGTACGACAAGGCGTCTCCCAGGGTGACCATTCCTTCGACGACCGTCAAGCGTACTAAACGTATTTTAAATTGAAAAGTAGGCTGTAAAAAGAAGTGTGCACTTCTGTTATTGCTTAGAAGATAGAGGAAAAAGAAACAAAGAAGATTTTGAGAAGATAAGATTTTGATGCGCGATGCGAATCAATTCGCAAGTTCTTGCGATGCGTAGAGGGAGCTCGCAAATTTTTGCGATGCGACGTCGCATCGCATTGATGTGTACGATCCCTTAATAATTAATACAAAATGCCCTATAACCTATTTTGATAATAAAGCCTACCTACGTTGCGTCGATTTATAGAACCAAATACCAATATTATTACTATATTTAAAACTAGACAAATTGCTCTTGTAAATGCTGTTATAAAAATCATGTAGATACAATTACATATCTTTTATCTACACTTTATGTAATGCAGTCATTTTATGTATAAAGATATGTGCTAACAGATTTATTGGTTTCGAACAAGCTCTGTAGTTTTAAAAGTGATATTTTATATCTTTACGATATGTCAGTACTTTAGTACTGAAGTTGTAATATATCATTTAGAGTAGGTTGCATAAAGATGTTCATAAAATTATGTTTAGTATTGAGTTTTTCAACAACAAAGTCAGTAAATTCTCACCCTTTCTGGCGTTAATAGGTATTTCAAAAAGCCTCGTAAAATTATAAGGACCAAATGGTATCTACATTGAAAACTTAAATTAAACTATATTAGGTATAGTCAACATGACCATGTAGGTATAGGCAACTATACCTCTATAACTGCGCAATAAGTTGACAAAAGTGCAAAAATATCGCTCGTTTAAAAGCAGGCTTCCGATTTGTTTCTTTATAGTAACAATTCAAATATACCTACAATTAAAATAAATAGTAAAAAATACACAAAATGAGTAGTATACACAAAAACTCATTATTTATTTTCTTTAACTGCAAAATAAATAATGACCACTTTTTAAGCTAAGCCGGTAAACAAGCAGACACATCACCTGATGGTAAGCAATCGGCGCCACCCATGGACACCCAAAACACCAGAGGTGTTACAAGTGCATTACCGGCTTTTTGGGGATAAGGAATTTAAGAATAATTGGGGATTCGAGGTTTGGGGAGATTGGAGAGGAAGGTAATTTTGTCCTCCGATAACCTTACGTGTGAGTGACACACACAATCACAGGACAAAACACAACGCAAGTGTTGTTTCACGTCTGTGTTCTGTGAGGACGAAAGTTAACGTGACAGGAACATTTATGAAGATATTTTATTTCGTTTTGTATTTTTTCCCATTTTTACATCTCTGTTAATTAACTGAAAGCAAAGAAACCTCATTAAATTGCGTATTCTTAAATACTATTTGATTCAATATGTACATAAACCTATGTACTTATGTACCTAAATAAAAATAAACAGCATAAAACATTGACGTGCATAACTCATAAACGGCAGGACCAATCCCGATAAAATCTATTAAGAAACCTTTCGTTTAAATCTAAATAATATTTAATGAACAACAGAAACTTAAAAAGTTAACCAACAAAGTTTCATAAAACTCATAATTAGATATAAGTGGATAGTTACTTATAGTATGACCATAAGATGATTCCTACATCACACAATTAAAGTTTTCTCATTAATAAACTTAGGTACTATAGCTTTTTACTTATTCTCGGGGGTCCTTCTCCTCAGGGGTAAAACCAGTAGCCACCAAGCTGGTCAAAATTGGTGGTCGACCCGAGACCTGGTCGGTGTAACAAGCGAATGATAGCTCAGGCACGACACAGTGCCGGAGTTATTATTCTAAATCGCCTTTGAGGGGAAACAATGACTACTTGTTAGTTCGACCCCCACTTTTTGATAATTTCAATGACAACGAGGAATGTTTTTTTTAGCTTAGCTTATTATAGCTTTAACTGTTTTATCACTAGGTACTGAACCTTCTTAAAATGTTTAAAGAAAATGTAAAAAATCGAAGGCTTCAAAAAATATAGAAAAAATAGGCCCGAGTAAATAGGTTGCTTAAGGGACGACGTCACGGTAATATATGTATAATATTATTACCGTGACATCGTGCTCCATCGTAGTCCGCATCACCGCTAACCACCAAGCGAGATAGTTGTTAAACGTAGGCCCATCAAATATAAAATTAAAATACTGCAACAAAAAATTGTTGCCCTTTTATTACTGCAAAAGACGACTGCAAAACTACATACGTCTATGAACGCCGCTGATGGCTAACTATCAAGTGATCAGCCTGTTCATTTGCCATATACCCTACAAATATCTATATAACAATTATTCTACTACTACCTCATTATTCTTATCTTCAAAAGCTCAACGCATTTTGGGCAATATTTACCATATTTTTACCTTAATCTATGCAATGTGACACCCACTTTTCAATATTTATGTTATGAGTTCCATGTAATAGGGGTGAGCCTATTGCCATATAGTGAAAAGTGGGTGTTACATTGCATAGTGGTATAATGTGCACCTCTGCCTACCCTTTCGGGGATAAAAGGCGTGATATTATATTATGTTTTACCTTAATCGGTTGATTGAAGAACCCGTCAAACAAAAATCAATATGGCCACGTTCAATTAACCTTAGTCTTTTGTTATTAAACAATGTTCCTATTAATAGATAGCTAATTGCTAATGCAGTGTTGTTGATAACTAATGATTACCAAGCAGACGTGTAATCAGTTCAGGCTAACACCTGTCCATCACTATATTGACTTTAAAGATGGCTTGCCTGACTCATTTACATTTGTAATTACGTAAAACCAACCTTTACTAACGGTTTTGCCCGTGTAACATAGATTATTTTACAATTTAGTTCAATTATTTTGTTACGGAAATTATTTAACTGCAATATAAATATCTATGCTTTCATAAATAATAATTTAAGAATTATAGCATAACATAACATCACGCCTTTTATCTCCGGAGGGGTAGGCAGAGGTGCGCATTACGGCACTTAATGCCACTGCACAATGTAACACCCAATAACATAGGTAACTGGCGAAAAGTTGATGTATCGGGGCGGTGATATAGCGGTCATGTTCGTAGTAGCATTGTAATCACTAATTAGTTCAACACTTAAATTTACTTCATCACATATATTAAAAAGTGACTAGATAATACGATTGATAATGATTTAGGAGGGTTAATATTTAACTATAGTTTTATTTAAGTGTGGGAGATCATGCAATTTGTCACTGAACTATTAGCAACTAGTTGTGTAGACATATCGATTGTACAATGACTTATACTGATCATGTACTGCTACTATACACACTATTCGATATGGTCCGGACCGGACAAAAGATTCGATTCGATTTTTCGTTTCGGATCGATCGTCTATTTGTGCCTTTTTTTTCATTTTATATTTGATGGACCAACGTTTTACCACTATCTCGAATGGTGGTAAGCGATGATGCGGTCTACGATGGAGCACATATTCCCATTCGCAACCTATTCACTCGGGCCTTGAAGACTCCCAGGTTATATCCTGCATAACCCTATTATGCATATAGTGTAGGTACACACATTTACTTAAAAAAACATTCTTATAACTGGTTTGTTCTCAAATAATGGATGTATTAAAAATACTCTCAAAAGCTGGGCGTGAGACGATGTAACCCTCAATAGATGTGCAGAAGCAAAATCCTTCTTATTACCTACCTCAATTGTAAAACCTAGGACTAATATCTATATTTTCTTCCACAGATGGGAAAAAGCCCAATGGCCTCAATCAGCGATGGGTGGTGCAGCCGGCGCCGTGGCAGCTGGAGCCATGGTGGGAGCTGTGGCCTTGGCAGGATCCTCTCCATCATCGGCCACTCTTGCCAACCCTGAACCCCGCGACTCCGCCAGTTTGACACCTGGCAGCGCACTGTCCCTGACTCCTAACTCTTCGTGTGAAGAGCTGAGGGTTGATTCTGGTGAGTTCACAACTAGGTACTTATACAAAACATGATTTTTATATACATGTCCATTCTTTTTCCATATGAGAAAAGGTCTTTGTCTAATGGGTTGGTTATAGGTTGATAATATTATAATACACATGTTATTGTCATAGTTCTTGTATTCTGTAGGGATGGTGCGGAACTTATATGTATTAAATAATGACCTATAATAATACGTTAGTCTTGTATAAATTGTTTCTCATTTTTTTGGAACCAAAATCTATCTTCATGTGGTTTAATCTGTATACGTAATTTTGCTACTACTTCTTTTTGTGCGACAATTAATTAAGATTAACATTAATCTTAAGATTAAAAAGTGTACACTAGGAAACGCTTTTAAAAAGATACCTTGTTAAGTACCTACCTTTTTCAGACCCTATTTTCATCTTCTATATGATGTTTTTCTCTTTTTAAAATTTTAAGATTAACCCGTCATGTGTCTAAACACGCGGGACACAGTGTATTTTCTATTGTGTCTCATATACAATTGTATATATTATACCTATGTATTATAGTTATGTGCAACTCCGCATACCTACATTGGGAGAATAACAAAACTAAATGCAATAATGTTACATTGCTCTTAATTTTATATAACACTATGTTTCCAATATTGCTTGCCAACAGAATTGTTGCAAAATTATTTTTGAGCGTTACTTTCTTTTGAGAAGTGACATCTGTATGTCGAGGGAATACATAACACTTGAAGTGCAGGCAAGAGTTGTGTTCTCAGGTTACCAACATACATACAATCATACATTAGTGTATTTTTTGTAAGGGGGAAAATCGTCGAATGACTTGAGAGTGTCAGACTCTTACTGACTAAAAACCCCGATCCTTCTTCTGCACGTCGAGCCGGAGCCCCGGTAACCCGTTAGGCCCCATCTGTGGTGGTCTGATGGCTCTTTACAGTCGCCGTACGCTCGGGCCTGTTTCTGGTCGGACGGGGAGCCACCCATGCTCGCCGTCCGCAGGCCCGCGCTTACGGTGGCCGGAGATCGTCCCGCGATCCCCGACGCCCGGTGTGTCCTTCGCGATGGCTGGGTTGCGAGGAGGCAACGCTTCGCTGCCTCACGAGGTCCGCCTCCTCCTTATACCTACATTAGTGTATACTTGTGCTTTTTTCATTCTTTTCTCAGTATTTCTATGTAATTTTGAAACAATTGCTTCTAAAACCGACTGATGAACATAAAGGTTTTGGTTCTATTCTCGTGTGGAATAAAAGACGTGGACATCCGTCTATTTTCAGTTGCAAACTTGAAATAAGCATAATAGTATGATGTCTCACATTCTAACCAGCGATGTGTACAATACAGCCTGTTGTCTTGACTGTGGATGTGTGTGACAAGGTATAAATAGTGGGACTCAGACCATCCCCATTGAAAAGCAACACAAATGTTATACAACAAAAATTACAAAACCCAAAAACCCATCAACAGCATTCCAATCTTATAACCTTAACGAAAACAAACATTACAAGATAGACAGGCGGACAGACAGACAAACAAATAACTTCCTTTTCAATATAGATACGGAAATATCTAAGTAAAACATGGCCGTATTTTAAATCCACAAACTTTGCATAGTCTGTAAATGGATGGCCTTATTCTGTCAAACTGACTCACTCCATGCCTCCATACTCGCCACTCGCTCGATTCCCATGCCCTCTTTGATCGAGTTTACACAAACTTTGTATTGCGAAGCGATGAGATACATGTTCTAGTTCACTTGTGTATTATAGATCATGCTTGTTTGATTGTAGTTCGTATTATTTTAAAGTGTCGTTGCGAGTGCGTCTACTGTTTATAATAACTGTAATTTAATAACTGTTTGTACTTTAAAAGTTTTGCCTTTACCGATAATGAATTTGAATCTGAACGATTTTATAGAATTTTTATTGAGTACCCAAATTAAAACAGGAATTTTTAAAGCTATCTTACGGACACTAAAATCGTACAATAAAACCGATGCGTTGCAATGTGAAAGAAAGACAAAGAATCTGTTTTTTTTATATAATTTTCAAAGATTTCCTGATATGTGTTTCCTGAAGGGTATAACCTGGGTGTCTTCAAGGCCCGAGTGAATAGGTTGCTTAAGGGACGACGTACTCCATCGCAGATCGCTTCATCGCTTACCACCAGGCGAGATAGTGGACAAACGTCGGCCCATCAAAAAATATACAGTAAAATTAGTTAAGTATTATAATTTATTTAAAATAAGTCTTATTTATGCACTTCGATTTTCCGAATAAGCCTGAAGTCCGGAATAATATTTTGCCCTGTAGTTTGGCAATTCTAAAAACATGTTGTTTAAGAAAAACCTTACACACTCATATTGGCAACGAAATTCTGAGTAAATCTATAATAGCAATAAATACCATGATTCCTACATTTCTCGAAGAAACAACATAAAATTTAATCATCAAAACAATTCTCGGAACTTGCGTTCCAACAACATCCACATAATAATAACAGACTGCATCATTAGTGCGAAAATTCTTTGCACAGGGTAAGTCTACCTGAACGCGTCCATGATAAGGAACTCCTTTAAAACTTTCGATGTAAAAAAACTAGTTACTATCATATTAATAGTATTTGGTCCACATCTGTTTGATCTTATACGTTTTCAGTATATTACATTCATGGCGATCCGTAAAATGGACACGCTCGACCGGAGTGATACACTCCGGTCGAGCGTCCATTTTACGGCCTCACAGAAAACCGACGTGAAGCAACACTTGCATTGTGTTTCGTCGTGTGAGTGAGGTTATGGGAGGACCAATTACTCTCCCCTTCCCAAATATCCCCAATTCCTGAATCCCCAACGATCCTCAAACTCCTAATCCCCAAAATGCCGGTAACGCACTTGTAACGCCTCTGGTGTTCCAAGTGTCCATGGGCGACGCCGATTGCTTACCATCAGGTGCCCCGTATGCTCGTTTACCGTCTTATACAATAAAAAAAAGACGCAAACAGGTGAACTCACCCTACATACGTTTCATATCTCGCCCTTTACCTAATGGTACACAGTGTAATATAGCATCCAGTGTATGGTAATTAAAAGATAAGAGATATTATGAACTGTGAAACTGATAGTTACGACCCATCTAGTATATTGCTTGTCTTTATTCATAAGAATCTACAATTTGGAATAAACAAATAGCTCTGATTTTACTTTGAATAAATGTAGGATTACCGTTTACCCATATTAATTTTAACATGTTCCTCATGATGCAAGGCGTCATGAAATTATTGCAGATTGCAATTTCGCAGTGCACTGCGAATGTACAACAAAACAACAAATTCTTTACGTATTTCAATGTTTCCGAGAAAATATTCACAATAACGGATCATTTGTTCCAGGTATGCGCAAGAGTGTGCGGGAGGATGGCGACAACACATTCCTGCAAGCTCCTACGCAGGTCAGAATCAACATTGTATATTAATGCCACTTTATAGATTAATTGCAGTAATCCAACTTCATGGGAAAAATTCATAATGGGCAGAAGAATCACTTAATGGTAAAAAATCGATCAAAAAACAGTTAATAATCACACATATGGGTATTTATTATAAGTGCTTACGTTGCTTTTCGACAAGACAATTATTTTCTTAGTTCTCTAAAGAAAAAAAAACCTATGATTTTATTGCGGAGCCGCAGAGAACTTAACGGGTTACCGGGGCTCCAGCTCGAAGTGAAGTAGTAGGGACGAGGTAGTTCTGTCAATAAGAGTCTGACACTCCCTCTCGCCTCACGTCACGAAGAAGTCATTCAATGATTTGCCTCCCTTAAAAAACTAGTTTTACTGTCGTCGACATGATATGCATGGAAATAACTGAAGCGGGATAACTCATTAATTCTTTTAAGTGTGAATTATACATACATTCCTGACTAACTCGATAATCTTGCCAAATATATACATGTTACTCGGAAATACCAGCGTTGATCTGGATTTACCTCAACTTTTGTTTGTTATTTAAACCAGCACACAGGAAAATATCTTCACTCAAACAATGACGCGTCTAACAGTGTAAATATTAAAGATTTTTGTCCGAAACGTTTATTTTCATTTGTGAAAGAATAATTAAGAACGTAACAACAGCCCGTCAGAATTCTGTCCGAAGTTGACATTCTGTTATTACCTACATAATGGCGTTTTCAAAAATAGTTATTGAAAATAGACTCATTCACGCGCGATTCCGTCTGCTAAACGACTGGCGAAATTATTTATGATGATTATTGTGCTATAGTTAGACCGTGGGATGCGCACACGCATGTGATCAACTGATCGTTGGATTAAACTGTCGATTTGATAGATCGATGCGAAGATCTAAGTAAAATGGAATATCTACATATTTAAATGTTGATAAATGATTCTGTATCGCTTTACAAGAATCTTTTTGAAATAAATAATATAATTTTCTATATGGGTGTTATAGAAGTAACTGGTGAAAAGTGAAAAGTAACTGTAAAAATACTTTTTAGAACATATATACAGGCATATAACGTTAAATTAAGACATTCACATGGTAGTAGGTGGATTAATATTAATGTTAATAGATAAGTTTAATTAGTTGCCTGCCTCGTTGGCCGAGTGGTCGCAAATTGCGACTGCCGGGCAAGAGGTCTCGGGTTCGATTCCCGGGTGGGGCAAAGTACTACTGGGTTTTAAAAAAAATTCTCAGTGATAGCACGGAGGTTTATGGCAATAGGCTCACCCCCTATTACATAGGACTCATAACATAAATAGTGGAAAGTGGGTGTTACATTGTCGAGTGGCATTAAGTGCCGTAATGTGCACCTCTGCCTACCCCTTCAGGGATAAAAGGCGTGATGTTATGTTATGTTAAAGAGGACCACAAAATTACAGCGTTGTTAAGGAGCTTACTAAACACTTATATGCTTACACCACGTTTATGTTTCGTCTTATCGTCACTTGAAGAACTTCTTTGGTGTTTCGAGTGTTCATGGGTCGCATCGATTTTTTACCATCCATCTGCCAGTTTTACACTGTATAGTTACTATAAAAAATAACTCAATACCTCAATCCTCTAGGATGACAGTTCCACCTCACCATCTCCGAACAAACTCCACAAGACAACTTGGAGTAAGATGAAGGATATCATCCAGCAAACTCGCAAGGAGTCTGTTAAAAAGAAGACCACTTCAACTTCAAATCGAGGGTCCAAGAGTTCTCCTGACGTGGTGCCCAAGAGACGAAGGTCGCTCAGTGATGGAGGAGACAGCGATGCCCCACCAGCACTGACACTGACCATCCCGTCTTCTGAAGAACTGGGTGAGTTTAGTTTTTAATTTATTAGTTAGTAGTGTTGATACTAATGAATGACAAGGCTCATGTAAGCTAAGCAAGTTAGAAGAAATAGAATGTGTAGATAAACTGTTTCAATTACTACCTATGTTGCTATGTTTTTGTAATAACTATCGTGAGACATACTAAATTAAGTAAAAACACGGGTTACTCACGTGAATATGCACGGTCGCGACGTCGCCGCGACCGCGCACGCTGCTCATGAGGAAGAACCCCTCTGTGGTTCGAAACTAGTAGAGCTTTTCTCAGTATATTCACGTGAGTAACTCGTGATTTTAGTTAACCTATGTTGCTGTTTAAAGTGGCATCAATAAGTTCTAAAAGTAATTATAAAATTAAAAGAAAGTAAACCATGTTTTTATAATAACCATCGTGAGACATACTAAATTAAATAAAAATCGCGGTTTATTCACGTGAGCAAGCCACTTTTTAGTTATAGTGAAGAAAGTATGTCAAACTCATTAGACCAGGAAGGCACTTTTCATCGAACGTACGTGTGTACAAACGTTAATGTTACTGTAACTAATCTTTAATATAAAATTAAGGTAAAATATTTAATCGACAAAAGAATGCTAGTTGCGTGCTCCTCACTTTACATGTCACACTGTACATAACTATTCTACACCATTCCCAACATGGTCGTTGTTGCCCGGAGGTTAAGACTCCCGCTTCTCATGCATGAGGGTACACTACCTACCAACCGCAAGTACCAATGTGACTTTTTCCGAGTTATATGTACTTTCTAAGATTATCAAGACACCGGTGACAAACGGTGAAGGAAAACAACGTAGGTAAGGGTACCTAAGCTTATAATTTCTAATTAAAAGTTTGTAATTGCCTACCCGCATTGAGCAAGCGTGGCGATTAATGCTCAAGCCTTCTCCCTGGGAGAAGAGGCTTCGGTCAGCAGTGTCCACTTATAGGGTGTTAATATTGATGATTCTCAACATGGTAGGTTAGTACCTACTTTATAAGTTTCGATGTATCTGTTTAATTAATACAACTAACGAAATCACGCTTTACGAAATCATTATTCAATATCAGACGAAGAGCTATGATCACACACATGTTAAAAAACTTGAGAACCGTGTTAATAACTAGTAAACAGGACCCAGAGCTACTGCAGTTGAATTTAGATACATCTCTGCATTAAATACACGAAACACAATTACTCACATTCACAATAATATAACTAACTTCCATAAATTTGCATGCATCGTCAATGTTACAGCTTGTGTTACAAATACAGATTATATTTATACGAATACAAAGTGCATATTACTTTGTGTTGGTTCACGGCACGTGCAGTAATCAAAACAGTGTTAACTATAGTTCTCGTTAGTCCCACATAAATCATTTTGCAAGTCTGTTGACGGATAGTTTTACAATGCATCACATGCATTTATTAGGGCATGAACAGATTTACTGTAGCTTCAAAATATTCAATATTCAAAGAATATATCGTGAAAGTATAGATAAAACTCTGGACCCTTTATAGACTTTTACTTGATTACTATCAACTGTAGTAGGAAAACGTCCACTGCTAAACAAACCTCCCCATAAGCCACCGCACCGAATGACAATCCGCCATTTGCACCCATTTCAGTAGAATTTAAAAGCCACTAAAAATGAGAACCTGCAAAAAGACCCGCAGAAATAAATATCGGGAACTAGATAAGTGTTCTCTCTTCCAGAATCCGAACCCTCCCACCCTGTTCTTCGCAAGCAGCGATCCTTGGAGCTGGGAGCCAGACCTCCTCAGCATCGCCCTCCCAGGGCCTCCAAGTGGACTAAAGTCAAGAGGGCTTTTTTGACGTCAGCGTCAGCCTCTGTCCCGTCCAGTCCTAACAGGCACTCTGCGTTCTTCACTGATGCAGGTTAGTGGCTATATTATCCATTGTGACCTTTATTGTGACCTTACCTTTCATTAGGACATGAAATCCATTAATGGATTAATCCTTTTAGTTCGTCATGGTTATCTTAGCGCCCAAACACTTTGAGCTAAAGTAGAATGTAGTTTTTTGTTTTGATCGTGGTATTTGCTTGGAATTGTATGTGTTACTGAACATAAGCTTGGTGTAGGTACACTTTATTTTCTTATCTATACCGAATAATTACTCCAGTAAAATTAATAAACACGATTTACTGTACATTAAGTGCACAGTCAGACATTATTAAACATGGTTATATCCTGTGTTAGAATCCAAATACTGCGCCAATCGTGTAGTAATTTCATTAATTCTATGTGCATTAAGAACTAGGATCGAAAGCCCAGCTCATTCTCCTACCATCTTAATTTACGACAGAACGTTAACAATATTTGCTTCGCTTCACATTTTATTAACTAAAGTCTAAACTGCTGCCAACTCTGCATTGTCGTCAGTTGCATTTATAACTACATTGCATATTGCAATCTTATTATTATGACATTGCTGTCGATTTATTACAGAATATAATTCAAAGATGTTACAATTTTGTATTAATTTATGATTAGTATAAAACTCAATGTTTTATCGGTAGCTAATGAAGTTTTATTGCAATCATTTTGTGCTCAAACTGAAGCAATAAAATTAAATTGGTTGGTAATATTCAGATTAATATAATTTTGCAATATTTATATTCTGATTCGTAAATTGACGTCGATTAACATAAAGGAATGTTCCTTCTATTTCTGAAAAACCTAAGTATATTATTATTAGTAGAAGTATATCTTAACCACTCATGGGACCACATGATCCCGGTCATTTGGGAAGGCGTACGAGAGGCCGAAGCCAACTGCGCATAGAGCCTTTAGACAGCTTCAATCTATTGAGATTGCATTGGCAATAATTACATTGTATAGTGGCATTAAGTGGTGTAATATGCACCTCTGCCTATTCCTTCGGGGATAAAAGACATAATGTTATGTATTGACATATTATAGGTAATAACTAACATTCACTTTTCACCAGCTATCGAAAACTTATGTAACAGGAGACGTAACAACATAATTCGTAACATCAAAATAACCGCTTGCAGTACAGAATATCACACAATACGCAAACCGGCGTATTAGTAAGTTATTTTGGTAAAATTACTCATACATTAACAGATCTGTCGATATTATTGCCGTTCTTACGTCACTGCTGTCCCTGACACATATTTCCTTCGCAAGATTCAGATTTTACGGTAAATTGTAATAAGATTCTTTTATTTTATTGATGCAAAAGTTTGAGGAAAAATATTTTGTAAGTAACTTTGCCAAGGGACTTCGTTGACAGTATTTTAATAGAGGTAGTTTCTTGAAAATTTCTATGCACTCACCAAAAAAGCAATATGATACGTAACGTATATATAAAGTTTTCTACGAAGAGCAGTGTCGTCTATGCGTATTCTCCTAGCAAAAAACCAAGGTTTATTATGCAATAACAGAATCAGAAGTTCAATTTATTATAGTGCGATAGTTCCGAATTTTCGATAATCATTTGGTTTTTATTTCCAGTATAGGTAGACAGATATCTTTAATAATAATTATTGTCTGAGGTACCGTACTACAAGTATGTGCCCGACCCAGTTCTGGAAAATAACCATATCACATTGTACTGGGACCGATCTATCATCACTGACAGGACTATTGTAGCCAATAAACCTGACATAGTGGTGATAGACCGACAAGTACGCCGCACGATGATAATCGATGTCACCATTCCCCATGACGAGAACCTCGTGAAAACTGAGAAAGATAAACAAATAAAATATCTAGACTTATCTCACGAGGTTGTCGATATGTGGAATGTGGATTCGGCTATCATTGTGCCGATAGTCGTGTCGGCCAATGGGTTAATCCCTAAAAGCCTCGACATCCATCTTAGGAGGCTGGCGTTAGGTGGATGGATCAAGAGTCTGATACAGAAGGCAGTTCTCCTAGAAACGGCACGTATCGTGAGGACGCTTCTGTCTCTGGAGCCCTAACCACCGGTAGCTTGGACCATGCTACCGCTACTTGTCGGCTCATATTTTTTATATTTTTAAATATTATTTTTATTTTAGTCAGTAATTAAAAAAAAATTAATTATAGAGAATTTTAAATAAATATTTGGAAATTATTATTGCTTCTTGTAAACTAAACACGAAGTCAGATTCCTAGCACATCACTACATACATAGTATAAAACTAATGTTGTATGTTGTAATGTATGCTTAGATCTTTAAAACTACGCAACGGATTTTGATGCGGGTTTTTTTAATAGATAGGGTGATTTTTAATAGATAAGGTTGGTTTATATGTATATATAATACATGCATATTGCACCCGTGCGAAGCCGATGCGGGTCGCTAGTTTTATAATAAAAATCTACATGATGGTTTGCTTCAATTTGGAAATCAGGCGCAAATTCCTGCTATATTACCCAGACCTAATGTCCAGCGGTACTTACACGTAATTTCACATAAACACAAGATGTACAGCGTGCACCATCTATAAACAAAATAAATGTTTTGTAAACAACAGTGAACAAATTCGACGTAGCCATAATCTTATTGAAGGAAGTTCATTTAAAATAATCCCCAAATGTTACCAGGAAATTATAACCAAAATATTTCCTCTCATCGCGAGCCAACTGCAGTCTTCCATATTTACGAGAGATGATATTAATGCATGCTTCATTCGCTGCAAGTTTTTTTATGGCATAAGCCGGTAAATGAACAGACGGATCACCTGATGGTAAGCAATCGGCGTCGCCCATGCACACCTGGAACACCAGAGGCGTTACAAGTGCGTTACTGGCGTTTTGGAGATTAGGAGTTTGAGGATCGATGGGGATTCAGGGATTGGGAAGATTGGGGAAGGGGATTGAGCCTCCGAGTGAGGTTTTTTTATTTCTATTTATTTATTTTGGGGTTTTTATCCACATGAGGATACAAACACGTGAGGTTCTGACTTAGATTTACATTAGAATTCTTGGAACAAAAGTAGTACGGAGTCTGAATCTATTTCGATATTATAGGCCTGACATGGAACTTAAAGACACCAAAGAAAATTTTAACAGTATAACTCCTTACCCAACTATGAAATCGATAGGAACACATAGAAAAAAGAACACATTCTACTCCTAACCAATCCTCGTCAAACCCAAGACCTCATTATCAACAATGTCATTAGCAACTAACAACACAGTTTAAAAAACAGAACCAATAATTTAAATATAATGTGGTTCATTCTTTACAGTTTCAACGCAAAGCTAGGCGGCCGATGACAGCTCTATACAGCGCCATACTAACTTATTACCGACATTTACGATTTCTACAACAACATTTAACTGTTTTTAATATCTTTTACAACTATTCCACGAAATAATTCCTCTCAGATATCGAGGAAATGGGAACTAATTATACCGTTGCTATTTATAGTTTCAAACAGAAACCAAATGGAAAATCTGAAACGAAATTAATTTGTGAATAGTATGGAACTAATAAAGGAATAGGTGAAGCATGAATTGGATGAAACTCGCAAGTTTGATTGCCATATATATTCAAGTATAAATTAGAGGTACAATTTATTACTTTTTCACAAAAGTATTCTTCTTTATGCTGCCTCTACTTGACTGCCTCGTTGGCCGAGTGGTCGTAAGAGACTGCCGGGCAAGGGGTCTCAGGTTCGATTCCCGGGTCGGGCAAAGTATTACTGGGTTTTTTAATATTCTCAGTAGTAGCACGGAGTCTGGAATTGTGCCCGGTATATAGGCCATATGGCGCACTCCCTATTACATGGGACTCATAACATAAATAGTGAAAAGTGGGTGTTACTTTATACAGTGGTATAATGTGCATTTCTGCCTCCCCCTTCGGGGATAAAAGGCGTGATGTTATGTATGTTATTCTTCTTTATTCAGTTTCCCTTGTTGTGATTTAACTTTGTCTCTGTACTTGACGGCAAAAAGCAGTTATACGAACAAAACCTTTCAAAGATCTTCATCATCGCCATTTCAAAACAAACTGAGAAAACTTCACAACATTACAAACAAGTAGCTTCTACCGACTTCGCCCGAGTTCTCGTGAGATAAAAAGTAGTCTATCTATTTCTCTAGACTTTAATCTACCCTTGTTCCAAATTTCACCCCGATCCTTTCAGGCGTTTCGACGTAAAAGAGTAACAAACAAACAAACAAACACACACGCACACACACACATACATCTTCATAAACTTCCGCGTTTATAATATTAGCAGGAAAGTAGGAATTAGAAGTATTGAACACAATACCTCTATGACAAAAAGACATCACCCCTCTTTTACCCTTTAAAACAAAAGACATAGCAACATTGTCCCTGTGTCCCGATCCATAAACAAACAGACGGTACCACTCAAGTTTTGAGAAGATCACCCACAAGACACCTAACTAAAGCAACATACATTCAGACATTAAAATTTGGAAACTAGCCAGAGATCAGTAATTAAAAAGGCAAAGGGCATTCACCTTACTGAAAATGATTATGCGAAAGATAATTATGTCAAAGATGATCAAAGAGTCGATTCTACGTTTATGACAAGTCGTTTCTGGGATACTATGTGACATTAATACGCTGTGTATTTGATGTACAATTATGTAAATTGATATTAACCTAGTTTTCGAAGCGACCTAAATATGTATTGAGGTGACAAAATCTTTCTTTGTTACTTAGGGTAACTTTTAGTCAATTTGTCCCATATTTTAGAATAGTGTTGTACCTATTTACAAAAGTCTGCTTCGGCACGAATGGGTCGGCTCGACCGCAGTAATACCACGGCTGCACAGAAAACCGACGTGAAACAACGTTGCGTTGTGTTTCGTCGTGCGAATGTGAGTATCGGAGGCCCAATCCTCTTCCCCAATCTCTACAATCCGTGAATCCCTAACAACCCT